AGGTGTTTTGGTCATCAATGAAATTGGTAAAATGTATGTCATATGGAGAAAAAGGCTAAATCATCACTTAATTTTAGTTTAAGCTTATTTGTAAATCAAGGTAACACAACAAAGACTTTAAATAAGATTAGGATTTTAAATATTTTAGTTTAGGGCTTATTCGGTAAACCGGGGAAAAAAATAGTCAAATTGTAATTTTAATTTATGTTTTTCCGTAAACAAATTTTGGTTTGGGATTTATTCGTAAATTAGTGTAAAATATTAGAACTTTTGTAGAGATTTCCCTATAAAATTTGCCAATAACGGAAGCCTTTATCAATTGACGACAAAAAAAATTCATTACTATGCTAAGTATGTGATGTGGGCAAATTCTGATAGCCAATTTATTTAGATAACCAGGTTGTCTAGAACAATCGATATGCAAACAAATCGGTTGATCTATTTATAATTTGGATATGGAAACACAGATTCAGTTTAATCGGATTTCGATAAAAACATTTCATTAATTGGTTTACTCGTTCTTATATTGGTTCGAGTATTGGATATCAATTTGTATCCATATATAATCAAGTAGTAGTTAGTCGACTTATATCAGTGCTAGTGGCGATGCCATATAGACGGTTACAGGTGCCAATTATTCGATGTGACAAGAAACACGACTAAACCCCCCATGTAAATAAATAGGTTTGAGTGAGACATCTCAACCCTTAAACATGTTGACTTGACATGATACAAAAATTAAACGAGTAATGTTAGAGTCCAAACTTTTAACATGAAAAATGATATATGCAATTTTTAATATTTTAGGAAAACCGAACATTCCCCAAACCAAAACCAAATGTAACCTTTTATTTTCAAGTTGAGTCATGTGGATCAAGATTGACCGCCTTAGCATTATTTTTAAGTTTTCATTTTTTTCATTAATATCCCATCCTTCACAATATCATTGGCCTCCTACCCCTTCATCTCTAAATTTATTGTGAATTTCATCCGCTTCCCTAAATTCTACTCCTTCCATGTTATCACTTTTTCTTTTCCGTCTCTCTAAGTAAGTCTCCCACTCCTGTTCTTTCAACTTATTTAATGTTTCAATCTAACATGACACATCATTATACTAGACATTTGTATGTAGATACATAAACTATATTAGACCACAATTGTGCCAGGTGTGCATTCCTCTTTTGAATCAATCCGACTCATATATCTATATATCATCGTTGCCAATTTTATATAGATGTTGTGACTATACACACACATTATTGATACTCTTTTTAAAATAATTTACACAAGCACCCACTATTCTACTTCTAATATTTTAAACTTTCGTCCTTAGCGGGACTTCAACATACCAACGTCTCATGTTGATGGAAAACAATAAAATAAATCATTGAAAATACCAATCTCCAGAATCATATAGTTGATTTGTCTAACAAATGTAGGGTTTCGACATACTCAAAAAAGTTTATTACGTAAGAAGCATCATTGAAGTTGACTACTCTTGATCACAACCTCGTCTTAGGATTATAAACTTGGACCCCTTCCTCAAAAGTTTTGAGCAACAAATCACCATCATTGATGTTCGGTTGTGGTTTCAATTGCAAAGCTCCTTCAATTGGAAGTTGATATGTTCCTAATTTAAAAACCACATACCAAGAATTATCTCTCCATACCCGAATCCAAGTATCATCAACATCCATACGATAAGAAATCAAAGCTAGAGAACTTTGGATAGTTGTTAGTCCTGTTGTTCTCCAACACCAATCGGGTTCAGGCAACCGAATCATGCCAAAAACATGAGTGCTCAAATCAAATGTCAGTATATAAGAAGGAAGGTATATGTCTTGTGATTTGATATGATCACAATGTATCTCCCAATGCAACACTCCATTGAAAAACACGGCCTTGGGTAACACATAAGAAAACTGAGGTGTAGGGGAGGCAATCTCACACCAAGCGCCCGTTTTTACCGCATAAACAAATGAACTTTTTCTTGACTCTGATATCCACACAATTTTGTAATCATCACCAATTGGGTCAAATCCTAACCCAATCCCTGCCCAAGGGAATGTTTCAAGTTCATCGGGTTTCTGAGGACATTTAGGCACACTTAGTTTGTGCCTAATTGAAGGGTTCCATAGGCTCAAATTATTATTAATCTTCAAAAAGAAAGTTCGATAACATGAACCAACAATTCTGACAAATGTGCTACAAGGAAACTTGTCTCTTGTTATACCATTGTATCCACGTTCCAAACACAATAACAATTCGTCTTTTCCGTGTAATGTATAAAAGTCTTGTGCTCTTTTTATATCATCATTATTTGCATGTCTCAAGAGGATCTTTTTCGGGGATCGAAAAGTGTGCATGCATATAAAACCAGGGCTAGAGATACAAGTATATAACGATTTAGAGAGTGATCTAAATTGGAGGATGGATTTGGGTGGTAGTCATGTAAATATTTCAACAATCAATTGTTCGCATAGATAATCTGACATTGTGTACTCCTACATTTTTCCAACATCAGGATGCAATCAAAACCATTGTAAAAATAGAGTTAAGCTTTATTAGTATTACAAAAGATGTAAATCTTGCTTTTCAAGATTTTCAAAGAATCTTGTTTGAATCCAATAAGGAATTTTCATTATTTGTTTGTATAGAAACTTTACTCGTAATTTTGTTAAAAATCAATACAAAACTTTGAGCTCATGGCATTGGCAAAAGAAATTAGAAAGAATCCTCCTATGGCATCTCTGTTTGCATAACTTGATTCTACTTTAGAATTGTTGTCAATGTTCATGTTTATGTAAACGGATGCAGCAGACGTTTTAAAATTTCATCAATTGAAAACTATGTAATGAGCATGAGTAACTGGACACAAATAATACACTTGCATATATTTACTAAAAAAAAGTTAATAAATAAAGGGTTATGCTCTCAGAAGTCAGAACAATATTAGTTCTATCATGCATCTAGGTACAAGTGTTATCCAAATTAACTCAAATTTGAGGAATTTATACAATTTCATAAAATGGAAAAAGTAACTGTACTTTGTGAACGAATAACTATGGAGCATTTATATATATTTAGTGATTTGCTTATTTTTCATGTATATTAGTGATACAATTCGATTTAATTTCGTTTTCTATATATAAGCACATGTTTGTGATATTTGCAATCAATAAGCCGACTGCATATTTTGGTGATAAGATGATGTCCTAACTCATATGTACACAAATATTCAAATAACATAAACTTGATCGTCGTTATCAACTACATTATCTAATTTATTTTGAAAATAAATATTCTATAAATATTGTTCACAAGATTTTAATGTCAGTGAATCAGATCATTTTTGTACCCATAACATCATCGCATATACTAAAAGGCAAAAGAAAAGATCTTAAACGAGAATCAACGATTAACAAAACCACTCACCAGATAAGATGAAGAAGGGGAACAGTGGATCACTATGAAGAAGAAGAAGACAAATACATTAACGTAAGACGATCGACCAAGTCGTTCTAGGTTTACGCGTTTTTAAATAGGGGACTGATAATTCCAACGCACATTATTTTTGCACTTTTCTAATCTTGGATTTTATACATTTTACTAGGTTAATATCTGTGGAAACCACGGGTGATACAATAATAGGCATAATAAATATTTATTTAATTGTTAATAGGTGTAATAACAATTAACAATAGATTTATAAACAATTGTTGTTTTAGAAACCTAGATATTATATTTGTAACTTTATAAATGTTTTTTTGAATTAATTATGCAAAATGTTTTGAATACACAGCCAATGTTCATTATGCCTAATTTAATGGTAAATGATTATTTTGTAAAATGAAATATCAAATTGTAATAATTGGAAAAAAAACATAGACAATCAATCATGAAGATAAATTAATAAAATTTATTTCATCAAATAAAAAAATAATACCATGAGCCATTCTTGTTATATATAACAATGTAGTTTAAAGCACATTGCTACTTTAAGGCTATCTTGTGAAATTGATTTTCTTTTTCAAAAAATAGTAACAACTATCGTTCCTACTTATTATTAAGAGAACTAATTTTCAACAAATATATAATACATTTGCGTTATAATTTTTTTTATTAAACTAATATTTTTCTTATTATTATGTTAAAATAATAATATATTGTTAGGCCAATATGAAAATTTCAAAAGCAATAAAGTTATGACAAACACAAATAACAAAGCCCTTACTTCATTTAAATACAAAAATAAAACTCATATGTTCATTTAAATTAAAGCAAAGCAAATGATAATTAAAGTCTTTTTCTAATATTTTCTTGCACTCCAAAATACAAAATAACTTAAAGGATGAATAAATGCTAGAGATTCAAAATACTTTTACATCTAAAACTTATTTAATCAAAACTACAACAGAAATAGACTAATAGATCACATTAAAAAATTATTTGAACTAAAAACACAAAAAAAATCGTGAGAATCCTAGAAAAATCAACTTCAATTCATCGAGCACGCAATAAGCTAATTTAAATTATTTAATTTGTTTTTATAACACTAAATTCTAAACACGTTAAAGATAAAGATAAGTACATAAATTGGTTGAATAATTTGAAAACAGACCTCCAGAAAGAAAGGTCATGACATTTCAATATCAAATAAGTACATTGTTATCATCCTATGCATCTTAGTGAAACAAAAGGAACGATCTAAATCCTATTAAAAATGAACTATTAAATTAATATACATATTGCCATATAAGACTTTAGCCTATTTTCCATGCCTGTATTTTATCCTTTTTGGAGAAACTAATAAAGTTATCTCCGGCTTGATACTTTGATACTTTTACAGGTGAAATTATATTGTGATTGAGGGTGCTTAATTTGCTTGCACGTGTCTATCAAATTTGTTAATACTTTACCTTATTATGATACAAATAATTAAAAACTGGATTATTTTACATGACTTTACTTTTCATGGCTTTCTGCAGCATTGAATGTGAATGTTAACTACTATAGAATCATTAGACCCTTTGCTGAATCTTCTCTTAACTGGTTTGTTTTTAACTTTTTAAAAAATATATATACAATTAATTAATTCAGTTTCTGTTATCTCATTCTCTTACTGGGTAACTTGTTTTCATTGACCCAAATGAGAAAAAGTAGATAAAGCAGAATGGATATATGACACCCCTGTTAATTCTCAAGTAGAACAGAAACTCAGGGCTTTGTTAGTTAAACTCGAGGATGCGGATAAAATACTTGGAATTCATGTACATATGTTTGTCTCTTTGTTATATATGTATATGTATGTATGCATTTATTGAATATTAATATTAATATTTGACTGATACTCTGATTGTTAGTTATTTTTTGTTAGGTTTGTGCCTATAAAGATGGGGACGTGTTAATTGATACAACTGTTGGGGTACTTGGAAATTATGATCCTTCTCATGTTCAACCCGAGACATTATTCCCTGTTTTCTCTGTAACAAAGGGAGTTACAGCTGGAATGTTACACTGGCTTGTAGATAAATGGTATATTGTGTTATTTCTTAATTATGTTGACTATGGATTCCTCTTTCTTATTTTGGTATTTCTAATTCTAATACATGGATGCAGGAAAATGGTACTTGAGGATAATGTTGCAGAGATCTGGCCAGATTTCAGTTCAAACAGAAAAGAATCAATAAAGGTACTTTGTGATTCTTAGTAACCATAACAACTATAATCACTTACTTGTAGAGACAAATTAAACAAATTATTTTATGTATTCATTTTTCAGGTTCATCATGTACTGAATCGTACATCTGGAATGCAAAATGCTCTGGCCAGCCTTGTGCAAGATAATCCAATGGTGTTATGCAATTAGGATGAATGCTTGAAACGCATTGCCATGGCAGAACCAGAATCAGAACAACTATAAGATTAGTTTCCTCTAATCCAAACAAAGCTTTCTGTAACAATTAAAATGTTCATGTTTTTTGTAGCAAAAACAATAAAAAGCGGTTCCAAGTATGCATTTCTTATAATCTAAACATTTGCAATCATACGCCTCTCCAATTAAAAACCAACTCAGTAAAATTTGACAATAAGACATAAAAAAAACTTAATTTCAATGGTTTGAGTAGAAATAAGGATTAAAATTTGTTTTAAATTCGCAGACCTATCAACTTTCATCTTTAAATGCTTATTGAAGTCCCTGTTCAACATGGTTAACTTATATTTGACTTTTCAGAAATTAGATTTTGATGAATTCTTCCCCAAAAGGAGTCACTATCGACTTTTAAGGAATGTTCCCTTGGTGAAGATGGAAGTTGGGCACTTCTATTCATGTAATCATAAAACAAATTACAACCTGAGTAAGTTCAAGTGAAAAAGAAACCCTCAAGTTATGCTTTTATTCAGCTATATGGACAAATCAAATCTAAAGATGGAAAATCACAAATGAAGATGGGAAAACAAATGACAAAACTTGCACTTGTGAAATCAGAAAATAACACAGATGAAAAATTAAAATAAAAACATCTGGAACGATTATAGGATCAAAACAAAATGGAATGTCATTGCATTTCAACACATAATTTCTGATTTTAACCTCTTTTCAGCCACCACTATTTAATCAAAAGAAAGAGTAAACATAGGTCCTACAGAACAAAAATTGGTTGTGGCAGACTATACCTTGATCAATATTGGGCTTTCATGCTTCAAGAAATTTAAAAGAATTTCATCGAATAGTTGGTAGGCAACTCACACCAGCCTTAGATGTAACCTAATCTAATTAGAATGTAACCGAATATGATTAAATAATAACATCATAATCAAGATCAACAGATTTTTCAGTTTAACAAAATCAAACTTGTAAAATCAGTAATATATGTGGACCCAAGAAGTTTAGGCTGAGATTTTATGCACATATAGAGAAAATGAAATTATACCTGGCTTAGACATAAGAGAGATGCAGAGCAATATCTCTATCTTCAACTGGTTCAACGATTTTTTAGCAGAGAGAAAAAGAGTGGGGAAGCATACATCTTCATTGCAACCAACAAAAATGAGATTATACATGACCTAGACATAAGAGAAAAATGAGTGGGGAAGCATACATCTCTCTATCTGCTTTTCAATCGAACACTTATGTGGAGGCGATGGAGCTCAGTGGCGGTCGATTCAATATTGTAAAGCCTAAATCCAGAGAAAGTTTGTGAGGATTAGGGTTTAGATCAAAATATATGGAGTGGTATCTTCGATTTAATGGGATTAGACTTGATGAGCGGTTGAAGAATATATGATTTCTTGATTTTAAGGGATTAATTGAAATTCGAATTTAAGAATACAATAAGTTCTAAAACATTTGAGCGGGATCTACAGCATAAGGGGCAGAGGAGGAAGTTCACATAGATGATTTGAGCGGGAAAAATAGATGGGAGGGTGCTTAGCTATTGCCACGTGGCAAAAATTTACTTATTTATTAGATTAGGATTTGGAAATTTATGATTTCCCAACGTGATCTTAATTGGTTTTATTTTTATTTTTTGTTTTAGTTTAATTCTAATTTTATTATATATTATTAAAATAAAGTATATATAAATAATAATTATATTTAATATTTGAAGAAAAATTAGATAAAAACCATATACATATGATACCAACAATATTTGAATCGATTTAATATCTTTATTTGATTTATTAAGTGTCGTATCATAAACTTATGTTTTATTAATGTGGTATAATCTAAACAGTTTTCACAGTTATCCTTAGTAGAGTCGAAAATTACGAGTTTGTGGTTGCAAATGCATAACCATAAATAAAATAGCAGTCAAGAGCCGCAATTTGAAACAATAGTTCTCGTGATGTAATAATGACGGTAATCACACATTCACCCTACTAAGATACAATGTTCAATGATAGTTGTTTAAATTACATCATTAATAAAAAATAAATATTTTTAGCTTATGATATAACACTTAATAAATCAAATAAAAACATTTAATCGATTCCGATAATAATATGTCTGAATGATGTTGGTATCACATGTATATAATTTTTTAATAGTTTTTGCTTCAAATACTAAATATTATTATTATTATTTATATATATACACCTCATTTTAATAACATACTAGATTATCACTCGCGTTAAACACAACAAACATAAATTAAATACATATCACACATTAATAGGTGGCAAGGCCTTACGTGAAGTTTTAATAAAAAAATATTAGTTAGATTCATTTTTAGAGTTTTTGAACCAAACTTGTTAAATAAAAATATTTAATGTTTATATTAGAGAAATTTGGTTCTTTAATATAGTAATTTTTAATATAAATGATCCACATGATCTTTGTTTTGTCACAACATGATGTGACTCTTTTATTAAAACATATTGTGTAGCAGCTTTATGAATTGACTTTGTTTGATGTACCAACCTCCATGAAGGCTTATGTGGCTTTTTTTTTTTTTTTTTTTCAAATTTGCCCTGTAAAACCAAAAGAACACTAAGTTGTCATATGTACCAACAACGTTAAATTCTGCAAAGAAATTCGATAAACATTACAATTAAAGTGCATTGCCATAACCATAAACATCTAATTCAAACATTGTAATTTGGTCAATTTCTAAAGTATTTTATCCTTATAAGAACTAAATATGATTTTTCAGGCTACACCCAATCACATATACATATCTTTCGATCAAAGAAATTATTACAAAAAAATATGCTATGAACAAAAAATAATATCAATTATATAATTTGCCAAAGGTTAATACTAATAAATAATAATGAACTTTCACAAACATTGCATATTGGTCACTTCATCCAACTAAAAAAATGAAATTCATTTTAGAGGACTGATTCAAGAAGTGCATCCCGGACTTCTTGTAGTTGAATTTGGGGAAATGCTAAGACCTACTAAGATATGAGGGAACGGTCTATAAGGCTATGGTTGATTTCTAGAGGGCAATACAAATTCAAAATGAAATTACAAAAAAATATATGTAACCTAGCAATCAAATAACATATTTTTCATAGAAATAAATATCACAAATCTACAATTTACACTTTATATAATATTCCTAAATTATATCTTACATTATCATCTTTAATGGTTAATAACACCTCTTTTTGCCTTATTGTTGTGACATGAAAGAAGTATAGAGTACACAGATGCTTAATCGTACTGACAACAATCAATGTTTTTTCTAAGAAATATTGACGTAAGTTTAAATTATATAATAAAAAAAGTGAAATGAAATATAAGGGTAAACATAATTCAAAAACTATTTGACATAATGTATATTTCATAAATGAAAGTTAAGTACATAAACCTCATGTACTTGTTAGAGATCAACAATAACATGAAAATCAAACTAATGAAGGAAATCGTCATTTACATTGTAGAGGATAGTGGAGGAAGCATTGATACAATTAGTAGATGTGCTTTATGGATTGACTTTGGCAAGAAATCTTAACAATAAAGAATATGCTATTTTTGTTGCTTTAAAATAGGATCATTAATGAAGATCCTAGTCGTAGTGAAGCAATTTATGACGGAGAAACCATCTGAAACAATGCATAATGAAGTTAGTACTGTCACACCCCGAACTAGACGACGGAAACGTCTGAGGGATCGCGTGACTTTAATTGAATATCATCACCATGAATATACATGAATCATAACATAAACATCACCATGCATCAATATATTACAACTGGAATTGTTCACATCAAGTACATTGTTTTAATATTACACATTCATAACATAAATTGTTTGAGAGTTTTCAACAACATAACATCCTAACATTACTTCATATTACCCTTCCGCTAACCTGTTACCTGAGAATACAAGTTATTTTGGAAAAACGTCAACATATGAAATGTTGGTGAGTTCATTAGCAATGTTGTAATAAAATGATTTGTGTAGTTTGTAAAACCTAGAAAATCCGATATTTTCTGAAAAGACTTTTGTTTATCAAAGTGTGAAGATCCATAAGTTGATGCATGAATGATTTCAAAAACATATATATGAAGGGTATTTTGTATTATAGTTATAGAAATTTCGAGCGAGTAGTATTGAATTCCCCGGAAAACCCGATGTTTTTCGATGTCGAAAGGTATTCGTGATTACTAATTTTTGTATCGTCATATCGAATGAATATTGATTACTCCACCTTGAATATCGTCCTAATTCCGTCTACTTTGATTTCTCATAAGCCTTAGCGAACGAAGAGAAGAGGAGCACTATGTCCTGCTACTATCGTAAGTACCTTAGGCTGTCGGGGATGCGAAAGACACGATGGTCCAACTCGCAGTTGATTACTTTGACCTTACTAGCCTTACTAATGGGCCACTAGGGCCCAATAGCACATAAAAGCTATTGAAAGTCCTTTTACACGGAATTGGATCATAGGAGGCCCAATAACATATAAGCGTTATCCCTTTGGGACCAGAGATCATTTTGATGGACTTGCAAGATCCAAAAGGCATGATTTGAAACTCTCAAGCCCAAAGTTTCTAAGTTTTCTCATCGTAGGTATCGCGTATCTATTGAAGGGTTTGATTTAACGTTTGTTATTTTGTATCGATTCGAGACCGATAGATTCGTGTATCACGATATTTGGAGTTAAACGTGTATTCGTTTTCTGTTTTGTCGGTAGTCGTGGTTTTGTATTTCGACTTAATGAATTAATTTGTTTAAAAGTAGAAGTTTGACCTTTTCACTACCTTTCTTTTTATAAAAATGACAATTTTAGTCCTTTATATAAAAGAATTTCATTTTTAGTCCTTAAAACATTTTCTTGACGCTTTTGCAATATAAATTTGTTGAAAAGATAGTTTTAACCCAAAATTTATTTGTTAACAGATTCAGCCCTTCCAGAATGGTATTTCTCGGTTAAAACCCTATTTTTCGCAACTTTTACAGTTTTGGCCCAA